TGCCCTCTTCTGGCCTCTACAGACACCTCATGCATGTGGTACACACACACACACACACACACACACACACACACACACACACACACGAAAATACTCATACACAAAAAATAAACAATAAATCTTAAGTAAAAGTCATAACATACCATTTTTTTTTTAAACAGGGTTTCTCTGTGTAGCCCTGACTGTCCTGGAACTCACTCTGTAGACCAGGCTGTCCTCAAACTCACAGAGATACCCCTTCCTCTGCCTCCCAAGTACTGGGATTAAAGGCATGCACCACCACCACCCAGCATATCATTTTCTTTTTAGCTTAAGTGGCATCATGAATAATACAGCTAGAAATTTAAGAATAATGGAGCTTAAAATTGTTTAATGTTGCTCAATTAATTAACTTCATAATGAAAGGTTGGATAGGTGAATGAATTTCCTATAAATTATTTATCACTAGTCAAAATGTTGTTCTGGTTAGTTATATTATGCAGTATAATCTCAGATATTAGTAGACGTGGATAATTGCTTTTCTTATCTAGGGATCATGAGAACTAGCTATAAGTGGTCATTTGCAAAAGGTTAATAAATTTTCATGATTCTCTATTTCATAGAGACAACTGTACTTAATGTCAAAATCTCTTACCACACATAAATGGATTTGCTACTTAAAATCTAAAATGCTTTTATATTTACTGTAATGACTAGAGATCATAAAGGTACATGGATATTTTAACTTACTGGACAAATGTATTCCATTTTCCTAAATATTAACTAAAATTATTCATAGTCACTCACCTGGTTTGCACGTGACTTCACCCAGATTAGTCAAATCATTGCCTATTGTTGCTGTTCAGGGTTATTAAATGCTTCATATCCTTTGAAAATTCTGCCACTTAAGAAATTAACAAGCCGGGCGGTGGTGGCGCACGCCTTTAATCCCAGCACTCGGGAGGCAGAGCCAGGCGGATCTCTGTGAGTTCGAGGCCAGCCTGGTCTCCAAAGCGAGTTCCAGGAAAGGCGCAAAGCTACACAGAGAAACCCTGTCTCGAAAAACCAAAAAAAAAAAAAAAAAAAAAAAAGAAATTAACAAAATATGTCTGGTATATATTTTGAATTTCTTAGAGATGTATATCTGTGTCAGTATTGAACTTTTAATACATATAAGAAAATTACGATTTTAAACTAAATCAAACAGAGTGGAACATCTGGCTTGGACACCAAGACATTTATTGATTTAATTGGTTGACTATGAGGCTGGGAACTAGATGTTTAAAATGTTTGTGGTCCTGGTCATCCTAATCTGCAGCCACAGCCACAATCCACAGCAACGTGGGCTCTAAGCTCCCTTTGGGGATGAGAATTCTCTACATCTGTGTTACAACAGGTGACTTACTGTCCTGCTGTGCCCTGGCCTGTCCTCTGTCCAGGAAGCCCTCACTTGGTCACACTACACATCATTTCCACTGACAGTTGTGCAGAAAGACAGAAAAGGAGTGCTCAGACTGAAATGTGAACTCACTGTGGGTTTGGGGAGTCTGTGAGGCTGCTCAGTAAGCCAGCTGGTGTCTCTGACACTGACCTCCATAGACCTGCTGGGCCTTTACATACATGTAATATCTCCCTCACACTGACCTCCAGACACCTGCCGGCCCTTTACACACATGTAATACCTCCCTCACACTGACCCCCATACACCTGCCGGCCCTTTACACACATGTAATACCTCCCTCACACTGGATTCTCAAAGGCCATAGAACATCCCCGTCTTTTCTGTTCTTCAGCCTGACACCCTGGAAATGCCTTCTGACTGAGGGACTCCAGGGGTCTTTTCTTTTTTTTTTTTCCAGAGCTGAGGACCAAACTCGGGACCTTGCACTTGCCAGGCAAGTGCTCTACCACTGAGCTAAATCCCCAACCCCTTGACTCAGGAATCAAGTGAAAATGAAGTGCACACATCTGTAAACACATCCATCCACTCGGGTGTCTCTTTAATCTCTACCTATCAATTCTTCAAAAAGTATCCCACAACTCTGGCACCAGGTCACCTTCTCTCCATCTTCAGCATATACTCTAAAAATCAAAATGCACCTGTGTGAACTGTCCCCTCTATTATCTATGGTCAAGACTTTCAGACTTTAGACATATCAAGATGACCTCCTGGGTTGTGCGTCAGTCAACCCCTGCTGTGATAACAAAATTCCTAACACTGCCAGGTGGTTGGGTGGTCGGTCAGTCGGTCAGTTGGTCAGTTAGCTGGTTGGTTTTATAGTAGCAATATTAGTCTGTTTTGGTTTTGATTTTTGTTTTTGTTTTTTTTTTTTTAACAGATTCAGCCAGAGTAAACTATGGGTTTCTTGAGTTATATGATAAAGGAAATCTGTGCAGTTCAGTTTTTAAATGCCCACAGTGGAAACTTGATAGGGGAAGAAGATAAATGTACTTAAAAAAGGAAGTCCCTGAGACATTGGTAAGATTTCTCTCATCTACCTCATGCAGCTTCCTTCTCCATCCGCCCTTTCCACTGTTATGTATCTGCCATCCCTGTGCCTCCCTTACTTGCTCATAGTCACTGTCCATCTGCCAGGGTAGTCACCTTACCCACATGCTAAGCTCTCCCCCTCTTAGACAAGGGAGCTAAGCACTCGGGATGATCTAAATTTGACAACAGATTTTAAACCATGGAAGGTCAGGTGAGTTTTTGCAACAGGACCACTTTTGTTACAAACATTGAAGCAAATGCACTTTGGTCCAAGGAGCAATGGAGCTCAGTAGTAGAGGAATCCCAAGTGGCTTGTTTTTTCTTCCTCACATCTGGGAAGAATTCTCTGAATACTTTTTCTTCCCTGGATAGTTGTGTTTGAATGTAGTTCTGACCAAGATTTTTCTTTGTTCTTGAGTTTGTTTGCCACTAGCAGAAACCCTCTAGTGGGCCTGTGTTTCGTCATTACTTACCTAAATGAACAGAGATTGTGAGCAGCATAAACTAAGCTTAGGTTGGTGCAGGGCCCAACCCAGATGATTCCTCCACTATTTTCTATCACAGTAACCAGCCTCCCTCTTATGGGCCTCAACCCACGGTCCTTTCTCCTCCACTCCAACCTCTCTGGTTTCCCTTTCTCCATCCTCAGCAACAGGCTGCCCACCCAGTAAGAGCTGACTATGTGGCATTAGAGCAGAGTACTCAACTATCATGTATAAGGCCTTGCTCTGTGTTAACCCGTTGGGTATCCAATATATTACCCAATCTTATAACCTCACCTTCCATGATGTTTTTATGATTCTCACCAATGATCTTCTCCCAGAGGAGTGTAGATGAGTCTGGAACCAGGCTAGGGTCCACGCAGATGAAATCCACCAAACTGATGACCTCCTACCCAGTTGAGGCTAGGGCAGTCCCAGACCAGGACTCTGAATGGGATTACAATACCCCAGGGATTACAATACAATCAAGAAGGGCATTAGGGTGTTGGTTGTCCCCATGCCCCTTGTGGTATAAGGACATCAAGCAAGGATTGCCTTTCAACCGACCTCCTTGGTTTGGCAGTGAATGACTGAGAGAGCCTGGGCTCCCTTGGCCCCCATCTCCAACTGGGATCCTTAGGTAGTCGTCGCAGTATCAGGGTGATCCATCTCCTTCCTTCTGGACATTGGGCCCACTTTTCCGTCCTGACAAAGCTCTGGGGACCCACCTCTCCTTCTCCTTTCTCTATTGTCAGAGTAGGACAGCCTGACCAGGCTCGCCAAATACCACTTAGCTGTATCTTTAAGAGTATCCCCCTTACTCATTCCTTCCAAGTGGTGTCAACCTGTCCCATCCCCTTTCTGGGAAGAGACCTCCTAATCAAAGTGCGAGCCTTACTTTTGCTCCCCGCATCTGCTTGACCCCAGGCTCCCCAGCCATCCCCTTCCTCCTCTCCTCCAAACCACACAATCTGACATACCTTTTCCCTTACTACCCTGTGGGGGGACTACACACCACCCCCACATTTCCCCAGAGTGCTCTTGAGTGACAGTAGTAGGAAATATTAGATAGAAGGATTTAGACTGTGGAGATAAACAGATACAAAATACAGGATAGCCTCCAGAGAGCCTGGAACCTACTCCAATGGGCCCTGACGGTCTCTGCCCTAAGGTATTTCTAGAAATGCCAAGGGGTGGAGCAAAAGACCTCCCCCCCAGCACAGCCAAGTGCAGACCATCTCAGACACCTGCACTCAGGCCCGTGGTCCTAATCATCCTCTCTATGCAGACCTGCTGGGTTAAGCTACTAGGAAACCTGAAAATGGGCTCCCACACTACCCTCTCAAGTAGATCCCCAGGCATGGGACACCCAGAACATCTCTATAGCCAAACATCATCCCCCTCTCATCATTTGACTACAAACCCCATCAAATATATAACCCAGGCTCAATACCCACAGCCTCAGGGGACTTATGCCTCTTATCTTTGACCTCTAAGAATCTTCTGCTCTCCACTTCTTCCCCCCCCCCCCCCGTTAATATCCTCATATTCACAGTTTTAAAAAAAAATGGAGCCTACCACTTGGTTCAGGATCTCCAACTTATCAACTCCGCAGTAGTTCCTCTTCACCCCATAGTACCCAATCCCTATACTCTAAGCGGCAACAGGCCATCCTCCAGGTACCCTACATCATCTGGGCTTAACTCACCCCTTCTCTCTCCATGTTACAGAAAAGGAGGAAAATGTCCTCGGGGTCCTGGATCATCATCTGGGACCTTCCTTTGTTTCCACCACATTCTTAACCAAAAAAAAAAAAAAAAAAAAAAAAAATTGAACCATACTATCTAAGGATGAGTTCTTTGTCCAAAAACTCTGCCTGCAGCCGAACATCTTATATGCAAATCAAAAAGGTTAACCTTTGGAAAACCTACTGCTGTCTTCTCTCCTTACCACCTGTTCCATCTCCTAACATACGAGGATCCCCAAACACTACCCACCTCCTCAGGTCTCTCCCTTCAGGTAGCATTGGTAGAGGATGCTCTCCTTACCTTTCAGCCATGCCCATGTCTTAACATCGCATAATGGCTCACGTTGTTGATTTGACTGTCTTAAGGTGTGTACAGATCAATTGTTTATGCAGGCTTCTGCCCCCCATCACGTTTGGTTCCAAATCCTTCAGCTGCTTCTTCCTCCACCTGCTCTAACCATCCATCTCTCCTTGCCTACTTGATAAATGTCTTCTCTCTGGCTCCTGGAGCCCGCTACACCCTCCAGGGCCCCACCATGTGGGCAACTTTCTAGTTACTATGACACTTACTCCTCTCCCTCTATTGGAACCCTCCCTGTTTTCTGGCCTCCTGGCTTCCTCTCCCTAGGAGCTGCCTGCTAAGCCCTGAAGCTTCCTTAAGCCCATCTGGGCCTCAGTGACCTTCTCCCTCCTGTCTCTCATCTCCTACTTGGAGCTTATAGAAACTCCCTCCAGCGGAATTCATTTTGCGACCTTTCCTCTCTTCCTCCACGGACTCTGATTTTATTAAATCCTTGCTCTGACCTTAGCACAGTTCAAACGGCCAAATTTGGCATGCTCGATTTTCAATGATGACAACTTCTGCCACTGCACAAATGATCCAAAAATCTTTTTTTTTATTTAAAAGTTCCTTTTCCATTTTACATACCAACCACAGTTCCCCCTACCTCCTCCCCTCCTGCTCACTCCCAACCTTTCTCCCACCCCACCCCCCATCCACTCTTCAGAAAGGGTAAGGCTCCCATGGGGAGTCAACAAACTCTGTAATATCAAGTTGAGGCAGGACCAAGCCCCTACCCCCTGTATCAAGGTTGGGCAAGGTATCCCTCCATAGGGAATGGTCTCCAAAGCATCATTTCATACACAAGAGAACATGAGAGAACAGGATGGTCGAGTGGGACCAGAACTGATTCAAAAATCTTTCATATCTAAACTTGCTTTCTCCTCTATTTCTTCTCATCTACACCTGTCTGGTATAGCTCTTCCAAATGGATGTTTATCTTCCAAGAGGCCCCCACCTCTAACCAATAGTCTGTCCTAACAAGGTCTGGAAATTGGTCTATATCAGGCTGACAAAGGCTAATTCGGTACCCTATGCCTCCCTTATCCATCTCTCCTTCGCCGGGGCTTAGCCCCACGCCTGTCCTATTTTGGTAATATAATTCCTGTCTTAGAAACAAAAACCATAAAAACAGGACTCACAATAAGATTAAAAGACAATGCATGTTTCATAAGGTATAAGGAGGGATGTATGTGAAAGTCTGAGGTATAAGAAAGTGATTTAGGGTAAGAAAGTGAAAAGAAAATGGTCCAGATTTCTTTTCCCATTGATGCTGTTTTTCTAGCAGTTAGACAGCTTACCAGCAGGGAGCTATGCATCCCTGTAATCCCCCAATCAACTTCTTTTTTTTTTTTTTTTTTTTTTTGGTTTTTCGAGACAGGGTTCCCCAATCAACTTCTAAAACACCTGTCTCTATGCTGGCTTTCTCTGTAATCAAACTAGAGGTTACTATTGACAGTGGCCAGAGACTTATGGAGGCTGCCCTGATTGGCCCTATACGAGGCATGGTGCATATGCAGGAGGCACTCTACCTTTTATGCTGAATGGGGGATCTTTTATATTCTAATTAAGGACCCACGGCACCCCAGGTAGGAGACGGGGTCATTGGTAAACTTTACTATGGCATTTATCACAGCTTCCCATCAGGCATGCTCAAAACACAGAGGGTCCACATCCCACTCTCTCCAACCCCAAGGTACAGACACAGTAGAAGTGATTCAAAGGTCCTTACATCTAGCCAGGTGGTGGTGATGCACACCTTTAATCCCAGCACTTGGGAGGCAGAGGCAGGAGGATCTCTGTGAATTCAAGGCCAGCCTGTTCTACAAAGCAAGCTCCAGGACAGGCTCCAAAGCTACACAGAGAAGCCTTGTCTATGAAAAAAAAAAAAAAAAAAGAGAGAGAGAGGGGCCCTTTACATCCCTAATATCACCCTTTATTTGATGATATTAATCCCACCTCCCTGTCACACCATCTCATCTCAGACCTTAACCTCTCATATCAGCTATTGAATAATGCTTTGCCTGACCACCTTGAAGAATACTGGTTGTGTGTCCTTCCTGGGTCAAACTCACAGCCACCATTTGTGGCCTTATCCATTGTCTTAGATTCTCTCACCTTGCTACTTGTTAATTACTCTGAGCCAAATATCACTACCACCCCTTATCTCTCTGGTATCACAGAGTGCTTTAACTCCTCAGGAACACACTTCATGGGCACCCTGGATTCCACAGGCTGCAATAATACCATAACCCTTGGTACCATCACCCAGCCCCAAGGTCTGAACATTTGCAGTGCCTCTATTCTCTATGACACTCAAGTATACCACTGCTACCCACTAGGTGGTCTGGGACTTGTGCCCTGGTGTTCCTTTTTCCACAGCTATGGGTGGTACCCAGTGAGGAACCCTTGCCAATTTCCATCCCTGGGTTTATAGCAGCATGGCCTGACAGATGAACACTTCAGGTCACCCTTTCTAGCAGCCCTGGGCATAACCACTGGTGTCACCACCAGAGAGGCAGGACCGACTACCCCCCTAGTTATTTACCATCGGCTTTCCTCGCGAGATCCATCCAGGATCTCCAACGGGTGGCTCAGATCATCCTAACCCGCCAGGGCCACTCACTGGCCACTACAGCGCTACAAAATTGGTGAGGATTAGCTTTACTAACAGCAGAGAGAGGTGGTCTTTTGTCTCTTCCATGGGGAGGAATGTTGCTTCTAGGTTAACCAATCAGGTATAGTAAAAGACAAGATCCAACAACTCCAGAAGGATCTTCAAAAAAAACGTAAGAAACAGCTTGATGCCTCTGGCCAGTGGATCACTGATAGTCCAATATGGAACTGGATGCTGCCCCTTCTCACCCCTCTTCTCCTCATTTTCTTAATCCTGCTAGTTACAGCCCACCTTATAAACTTCTTGTCTAGATTTCTTCAACCACAGATCCAAAAGATTCCTAACCAGGCTTTTAACCAGTTACTATTACAGGATTACCAGCCCCTAGCTACGGAGCCAGAGGCCTGCAGCACCCAGTTACTTCCTGATGATGATCAGGATTGCCCCCCAAGGACCTCGATGCCCCCAATCAACAGGAAGTAGTCTAATGATAATGGCACCACCCTTTCCAACCCCCCCCCCATCGTTTATTAATAAACAGAAAATGGGAGGAATGTGGGATGAAAAGGGCCAAGGAAAAAACATCCTGCCCCTGACTAGACCCAAGACCTGGTCCAAGGAAAAACACTCTGACCTTGACTTGACCCCAGGACCATGGCTTGAAATCCCAATCGCTGCCTGAGCTTGCCTCAGAGTCAGACTACAAAAATTCCACCCATCCCAAGCCACCCTGGGAAGCTCCACCACCACCCACAAGAAATCCTATGTAAGCTCTGTAACCTGTTCAGTTTGCTGCTGTTTCTCACTTTAGAGGTAGCTACCCTCCTGGATTTTTCCTTCCCAATAAATCTCTAGTGGGAGGTTTGTTGTTGTTCTTCTTCGTGACACTTGCACTGGAGTGGACCCCAGCTGTTTCAACTTGTGCCAGAGCCAGAGCAGAGAGGAGCAGAACTGTAACAGTCTCTCTGGGGAAACTTTCCCCTAGGGAAACCAGAGTTGTTACACTCCCGGGGGGGACCTGAGCCGAGCTGTCACACTTGCATTGGGGAAACCTTTCCCTGGAGCAGAGCTGCGCGAGCCGCTGCGCTTACAGTGGCTTTGTGGTACTCCTTGGCTCCCGAATCCCAGCATCCCTTCCCATCTGAGCTGCACTGCTTACCATGAGCATTCACATCTACCCACACATAAGCCAACCTCACAGGATGCACAACAGTTATGAACAGATAATACTCGATTTACCTACTGACAAGCTCAGCCTAGTCTTTGGAGCACACTGGTCTTTTGATCCCTGAGGGAGGTAAGTATGTGCCCGAACTGCGAGAACGACTGGGGTCCCCTGGATTGTGAGGTCCCAACCTTCCTCCCAGGGCTGCCACTTATGCCTCGCTACGTTTCTTCCTGAAGTGCCCAGTTTGCTGTCCTGAAAAGATAGCTGTATGGTGTTGACCACACAGAATTCTTTATCATGAGATTTGGCCAACACTTCCAAGGCCTGCATCTTCCTCCTGTGGAGGAGCTGGGGTTTGGCTTCTGCCAGCAGATCCTGGTCCAAAACCCTTGCTTGTCCCTTCAGGAAAGAATTTTCCCACAGGAATTGAGGTTGTTCTTCCCTTTCTTTGGAGGCTTTCAGGGCTTCCAGCTTGGCCTGGCCTGATGGCGCTGCTTTCAGCTCTTCTCCGGGCCCCTCCTCTCTAACTGATGTGGGGCACACTATCTGCACTGGATGTTTGGAATGGGGCTTGATCTTCTTGCCCTGCAAAAAGGTGTTTTCTTCAAGAGGTGCAACATGTCTGCAGGATGTGTAAAGTCCTCGTGGCTGTCTGGGTCCTCCTGCATACCCTTCCTCCTCCAGATGGCCCCACCTCAGATCCTCCAGGTTCTTCTGCTGCTGTTTCTTGCTTGGGTGTTTGGTGTTCATGGCCACCTCATGCTCTAAGACGTGTCTGGTGTCTACTGGGTTTGGGGCTTTTTCTGTTCGCTTTCTGACCTTGTCAAGCAACGCCATTGTCCTCCTTTTCACCTGGGCCTCCCATGTTGTGGCTGCTTCAGAACTGTTCTTCAGCAAACCCTTGTCCCCAGCAAATGTCCACCTGTGTTCCTGGCCTTTGGCAGAGTTCCGCTGCAGGACCCTTTTGGAAACCATGTACAGACAAACTTCAGGGTCAGAGAAATGGCCCTGGTTAACAGAGCTTGCAAGCTGTGGAAGATGTTCTGGTTTCTTCTTGACAAGAGAAAGGTGAGGGAGCTCTTCCAGGCTAGGCTGCTCATCACCCAGACTCCTTCTACTGCCTGGGATAGCCCTGAGGAATTTAATCTCCTGGGCTGCCAGATAAACCCTAGTAGCAGGGCTAACGGCTTGTTCCACTAATCCTTCATGAGTCCCAGTATATTGAAGTCCCTTGCTTTTCAGAAAATGGGAGACCAACCCTTGTGAACTCATTCCTCTTCTCCCCAGAACTTTACCCTTCCTAGGTCCTACCCTGAGATCAGTAGAACTCTCCTGGCTACAGACTCTCTCTCTCTCGCTAATGCAACTCCAATACAAGTCACTACTCCGCACAGTTCCT